AGGAGAGAGGGCGGGAGGGAGGGAGGGAAGGAGGCATCCCCTTCGCCTCCATAGCCCTCATAGGGGCGGAGCCGCGAGCGGGGAGGACGCCGGGCTGAGGAAGGGTCCGCCCGCCGCTCCTTGGAGCGAAGCCCTCGCCTCGCCTCTCTCCTCCCGCCCGGCGCCTCGCTGAGTCCCGCGGCGCGAAAGGGAGGAAGGAAGGTGGACAGCTCTGCTCGGCGCCTCGTCCGGCCGCGTTCAGCACCTCGGACAGCTCCTCGCCGCGCTCAGACGGCGGCCAAAGGGCGCGCACGGGGCGCCCCCTAGAGCCCGGCGAAGGCGGGAAGGAAGGGCGGGAGCGCGCGCGTCGTGTCCCCCCCCTCCGTTGTTCGCCGGCCGGTTCCTCCCCCCTTCGGGACACACGTGCGGCCCCCCTGCGGCCGGAGGAAAGGCGGGCGCGGCTGGGGCAGAGCGGACCACCGAGAGAGCCCGGCCGGCCAAACACCCTCCCCCCCAGCCCCGCGCCGCCCCGCCAACTCTGCGGCCCGAGCCTGCCGCTTCCCTTGCCCCATGGAGCGAGGCCCGCTTGGCCCCTAGCGCGGCTTCGGTCCGGCCGGGATGGCGTCGATGGGGGACATGGAGCCCGCTCCGTCCAGAGTGGCCACCAAGGTGGAGATCACCGTCTCCTGCAGGTGAGTGCGATGGAAGGGAGGGAAGAGGGACCCACCGACCCCCCACACACACACACACACCCCGGTCCGCCGAAAGCCTGTTTGACCCGTCGTCTCTCTCTTTCCGGAGGAGGATTAAGTCAAAGCCCCTCTCCTGGTAGGGCTTCCCTTCCTCAACTATAGAAGAAACGCCTCCCAACAGAGAACCTGCATGCCTCAGCAGGGGGTTGGATTAGTGTAAATAGTGCAGCCCTGGTGAGTGAGTGTGCAAAAGTGCATTCTCCGGATTGTGGTGAGCGGAGTGGTGCAAATATGTCACTACCTAATGTGTGCCTTTCAGGCCCCCCCAGTGAAAGGGTACTGGTTTGAAGGGGTACAATATAGGAGTAGATCCAATATTCTCAGTGCTACAAATAGGTCATTGATCTGGTTTTCCTTGTGTACAATACTTATCCAACTGTCTTGTCATTTATGTGTACATGTGTGTGTCCTTCCAGGTTCAGTATGTGCCATTCTCTGTATTTACACACTGCGTGCACATGTCCGGCATTCATGCCTTTTCCCAGCTGTATGTGCCATTTTTAGTACTGCGTTCATGTTCCATTCATGTATTACAATGAGCATGTAGGTGTTCACCATAATCTTTCTGCTTTCACACTGGCACATTCGTTGCCATCAACCAATGTGCGTGTTTCATTTGTCCTTTGAACTGCTTCGCAAGCACTGTTGTTTTGCTCTGGATCTTTCCTTTGGATGAACGTTCATGTTTCATGACTGTAGCAATAGGCACCTGTCTCCATGTGTGTATAATACACACCCCAATGCATGCAGCACTCACTTTTGCACAGATGTGCTGGGTGAGTTCCATGAACTAGAAATACAGGGTTAGAAGAAGCTGGGAGATGAATGACTGCATCGTCTTGCTCTGGTAAGTACAGGGAAGGGCAATGTTCTTTACTAAAGAGTTATATACATTTTGGGGGCTACTCAGCATAGACTTCCAAGCCAGTTGGGTACTGCTTGATATCACTACACATAGACTTTTGAGACCATATATAAACTCTGTTTTATAGAAGAGCTTTGAATTAGCACATCTGACACACTTTTTAACATCTGAGATTTCCTTAGCAAACAGGAAAAAAGCAAGTTTCTAGTCCTTACGATCACAGAGAAAAGTCAGTAAAGTTTCTTTCAGTTTTGTGGACAGACACTACATGGGGTTTTCAGTGGTTAGGAGATGTGATTTTTCCCTGTAGTTCCCTCAACATCCCTGTTCTCTTCCTAGTTCTCTTTTCCCTTTCTTTTTTTAACATCTCATTTCTGCTTCTTTTGCAAATTTGTGCCAAAATCATGTACAAGGTGTGTGTGTGTGTGTGTGTGTACATCTCAGCTCTGCTTCCTTAAATCTTTGTTTCAGTACCTGAACAACAGTTTGCAAAATTTGTGCCAAAATCATGTACAAGTTGTGTGTGTGTGTGTGTGTGTGTGCTTGTGTGTGTGTGTGTGTGTGTGTGTGTGAAGTTATACAAATGTGCATGATTTATTTTAACAGCTAAATATAAATTTCATTCTGGGAGGTACGAGCTGAATAAAAACGGAAAGTAAGAGGATGTGCTAAGCTACCTAGACATTTGGGGGAAATGCCTTCTCTGCATTTGTGGGCTATTTGATGGTCAACTGGACATTAAGTGTAGAATACACAGCAGATGGAAGGCTGGAGGGGGAGGAGGGCAGGATTGGGGTGAAGAGGAGAGCCTGGGCTGCAGGGAGAAGGCTTCTGCCACAGCAGTGCCTGTACGCCAATTAATCCTGGTCCCTGGAGGCTGGGTTTAAAAATAGATCTGAATGGACACAGAAAAGGAGCCTTCCTCCCAGCAGCGAGAGAAGCTGTGGCTACCACCAGCGATAAGCATCAACCCGCTTTCCTGTGCAAAGAGAGTGGAGAGAAATCCGTGCCTCCGGAGGAACACCAAGGATGGACGGACTCTCATTGCAAGGAGCCCTGGGCTGCCTTTTACTACTGTTCAGAGTGCAAAGTCTCCTGGGGGGGGGGTAAGGAAGGTGGTGGGGATCAGGTATAAAGAAGAGAAGACCATACCTATGAGGGGAGGGGATGGCATTTTCAGAGCAGATCTTAGGAGAATCCTTTTTGTAGCCATGCTGGTTGGGGGATTGGGGAGCATTTTTAAGGCCCGCCGTCCAAAGAAGTGACTTTTGAAAGCTTCGGTTCAGGGGCAATATTTGGGGACACCTGATCTGATAAAACTTCCCAAAGGCCTCCAGCTGGCTGCATAGAGGACTGGGCTTTTTATTCCATTCAGACTGTTTCTCTTACATTCCTTAAGAAATCAGAGAAAGTTGATTCACAAGAAAAAACTTAAGACAATCACCTGACAGATATCCTTTGATCGGTATTCCTGCATTAAAACAAGGGGTTGGACTTGATGGCCTTGTCAGCCCCCAAGAAAAAACTTAAGACAATCACCTGGCAGGTATCCTTTGATCGGTATTCCTGCATTGAAACAAGGGGTTGAACTTGATGGCCTTGTCGGCCCCTTCCAACTTCACTGTTCTATGATTCTATGGAAGAGCTTGTCTCCTTTGTGGCAGGCTCCCCTCTCCCTTATCACATAGCCTTGCTCCCCATCCACTTCCTTAAACCAGAGTTCTCCAGATTTGCAGAGGGCAGAAGGAATTGTGGCCATCATGTCTGGGAAACCTCCCATCCACTTGCCTTAGAGTTCCCAGCTTCTTGGAAGCCAGAGAGAGGTAGTAGCTGCTTGTTTGCCTAAGGGATCCCTAAGATGTGCTCACCTGGCCAAGGTAGATTGCTTTGAGCAAACAAAGACTTTTCTGTTTCCAGAGATTGGGTGGAGCTGCTATGGAGGGAGGGGCCCCTGAGCTGTAGCAATGGATGCTGCAGTGTCTCTTTCTCCTTTCCCCTCCCTTCTAAAGGGGAGAAAGGGAGAGAAGAAGCAACTCTTCCCATGGCTGCCACCTGCCGTGCACCTGCACCCCCCTGGAAAGTTGTCCAGGAACTGACTGCTCCATGGTGGAAGTTCTCTCTCTTCTTCACCACGTACCTGATGTGGAGAGAATTGGAAAGAAATAAAAAAACAAACAAACCTACAAGTCTCAGAATCCCCAGAAGGAAGGAGGAGGCAAGTCATACTTGCCTTCAGGTCAAAGGAATTGAACACATGAGCCCAACTTTTGGGCAGGAGGAGAGTTTAGCAGCTCAGAATCACTCGGGCCACCGGCCAGGCTAAGTGAAGGATTCTGAGATTTGTAGTCCCTCCTCTTCCCCTGTCCCTCAAAAGAAGGGGATTTCCATGAGGTAGGGTGCAGGATAGATGGATAGCGGACTGAATTAGATGTCTCACTGTGGAGCCAGCGGTTGGGAGTTCAATTCCTCACAATACTTCTTGTGAGTAGAACCAGCCTGGGTGGCCTTGGGCAAGCTGCCCCCGGAAGAAGAGAATGGTGAATCCCCTCGGAATACAGTGGTGCCTCGCTAGACAGTTACCCCGCATGACAGTTTTTTCGCTAGACATTGACTTTTTGCGATCCCTATAGCGATTCGCAGAACAGTGATTCCTATGGGGGAATTTCGCTGGACAATGTTTGGTCCCTGCTTCGCAAACCGATTTTCACTTGACAACGATTTTGACAGCTCCCTCCGCGCTCACAAAACAGGTGTTTTCGGGACCTAAGCTTCACAAGACAGCGATTTAAACAGCTGATCAGCGGTTCGCAAAGCGGCTTTCCTATGGCCAATATTTGCTAGATGACGATTCTTCGCCGTTGGAACGCATTACAGGTTTCAATGCATTCCAATGGGAAAATGCTTTTCGTTAGACAATAATTTCGCTAAACAGCAATTTCAGTGGAACGGATTATCATTGTCTAGTGAGGCACCACTGTAGTCTCTACCTGGAAAACCCTGGAAAAGGTTGTCATAAGCCAGATGCCGAAAAAAACAGGCACCTACATGGATTGATCAGTCCTTGTCTTCCCACAGCAGCAGACATAAATATTTCCATTCCGCTACTGAGAGGCTTGCAACTCAGCTCAGGTGTAAGAGGGAAGCATGGTGATGGCTTTGTACATCTGCATTGGCTTCCCCCAGCCTAACATGCTGGACTACAACTCTCACGAGCAGTCCTGGACAAGGATGATGTCATTTGTAGTTCGGCTTCTCTAGCAGGCACAGGAGTTCGGAAGGCTGGTCTATACATAGAGGCTGGAGCGAGAGGGTTTCATGGTAGGCATCTTTTCAGCTCCGTTTAGCAGCGGTAGAGAACACTGTTCTGACAGCCCCGGTTCTTCAGAGGGAAGCTGTTTGGCATTAAGTGCCTGCAGACTCATTTCATCTGAGCTCCTGTTAAGGAGCAGAAGGAAAGTTGGGTTAGAGGAGCCACCGAGAGGATCCGGAAGGCCTAACTGCCTGTAATGAGGGCAGAAGCCAGCACCACTCGCTCCAGGGACTTCTCTCCTGCCGCCTGTCATGGCTGTAGCTTGCTTAGCATGTCTCAGACTTAACGAGGGGCATAACGCCATAGAAGCAAAATCAGAAAGAGGGCGGGGGATGGGGCGCTATTTTGTTTGTTTGTTTCACTATTACAGGTACAAGGAGGGTTTAAGAGGTCTGATATAAACCACCTCAGGCCTCCTCGAGAACCTTTCAGCAATGCACCGAGTCCCATGAGCGTTTTCACCAAAGTCACATTTGCGCAGCTGGTTCTTGAGAGATGTTGGTAAAAGACTCAGGAAGGGTTCTGGGGAGCCTTTCCCCCCATTTGGACTGGGCCTTTGTAAGTGGACGGTTGCTTTCAGGCTGGTGTTCCCCCACCCCTCCATCCCCTGCCTTCGGCCTGCCCAGCTGAATGCAAGGCTGGCATGGTGGAAGGAGACGCCGTGTGACTTTACCCCCTTGCTATGCTCCTTGTGCCTGTAAGAGCTCTCAAAGGCTCTGTCCTGAAGAATCATAACAGCACGGCAATCCAGTACACATAGGTGTGGAGGGGGAAGAGGGACAGATAGGGAGAGGACTCTTGTCCAAGAAATGCACCCATCTTATGGTGTCATGGTTAAACTGCAGCACTGCAGTGAAGACGGAAATGCACCCGTCTTATGGTGCCGTGGTTAAACTGCAGCACTGCAGTGAAGACTCTGCTCACAATCTGAGTTTAATCCTGGGTTCAGGTAGCAGCCTTGAGGTTGGCTCAGCCTTCCATCCTTCTGAGGTCAGTAAACTGAGTACCCAGCTAATGGGGGGCAAGGGGAATGTGTAGCCTGCATAACTGAATTGTAAACTGCCCACAGAGTGCTTTAAGCACTATAAGCAGCAGACTTTGCTTTTACAAGCTGGCCTGGGTGTCTCCCACTTGGAAAGCTATGTGTGATTTTTTTTTAATGTTATGCGAACCCCAGATCTGTGCACAGAATGAATTATGCAACTCAAGTTTTTTCCGCATATGGCTAGTTTTTCTTGCATAATTTATTAAGTTTCTAAGGGTGAAGTTTTCAAAGAACTGAAGAGGTTGGGGCAAGGTCAGGGTGAGGAAAACTGAGATGCAAAGGCTTGGTAGATGAGGAAGGACACGGCTGAATATTGGTGACACCCTATAGATATTGGAGAGAAGTGTCTTCAGGAGAGGCTAAGCCATATTGTCCAGGAATTAGTGTTGGTACGTACTGCCATGCCTTCCCTAATTTGTCAAACTGCACCAGTAGAGTGTTCTGTTAAACATGAGGGCTAGCCACTTGCTTTTTCTACAAAGACGATGCAGAGCTTCATACTGGGTATCCAGTTCCATGTATTTGGGGGGGGGGGAAGTGGGTCAGTTCCAGCTGTGGGGGAGATCGTGCCCAGTACTGAGGACCCTTGGACAGGAAAAGATGCTCTCCATGAAACAGAGCTCTGTGTTTGACCTGAAGGCTCCTATTTGGGGCCCAGTACTGAGGACTCTTGGACAGAAAAAGAAGCTGTCCATGAAACAGAGCGCTGTGTTTGACCTGAAGGCTCCTATTTGGGATCAATCGGGTGTTTGAAGCAGTTTTCCAATAAAGCAAACTCTGTGTGTGAGGAAAACAGGAAAGCCAGCACCACAAGAAACTACCAAGAACTTTAAAAAAAATACTTTTTTTTGCACTATAACTTCTCCTCCCTTCAGGACTCTGGGAACTGTAGTCTCAAAGGTAACTTTTCCAGGCTAGCTGGCTGAAGTGCAAGGATAGCTCAGTGTAATAGGTAGAGGGTATTGTTCTGAACAGCAAACAAAAAAATAATTAGTAATAGGAGCATCATTATAGCTGTGGTAAAAAGACAATACACATTTGGTAACAAAAATGGACACATTCGGCAGCTTGGATCATTTATGCAAATTGGCGTGTGTGTGTGTGTATGTTTAGCATAATTGAGTGCTCTTCTGCTAATTGTAAAGAAGAGGCATAGGGCTTAAAACTGTGCCACATGGCCACTACAGATTTTTATCTTTCATCAGGCTGCACCTCATCAAACATGTCTTTCTTATGGACTAGAAACCTAAGGAAGCTTTGGCTGTATTTGTTTAAAGAAAGACAGCACTAACTTCACCACCTCTAATACTTGTCAATGCCTTAGATGCATCCTGTGTGATCTTTTCATATTAAACAGACACACAGACACGTCCCAGGCCTGAGAGGAATCGGGGAAATGTGTTGCTTCACCCATTTTATTTCATTTTATGAAGACATCAATATTTTATTCTTCCAGAAAACCTCCACTCACCTGCTAAAACCTCATTTGTATGTTTGTAGATTATCTCCTCCCTTCAAGATTCTAATCGTGTAGGCATCAGGAGTCCAACATGAACACAGGCTCTCCCCACTGCCACCTGTTTTTTGTAATATTTTGTCTGATGAAGAGGTCTGATGATCTCGAAGACTTGCACATTTTGACATTTGGGTTCGCATGAGACAGGTATTCCACTAATTTGGCTTGTTGTTGAAAATGGGGGTGAGAACGAACAGAGATCAGGGCTGCAATCTTAAACAAACGTAGTATTCAGAAACAATCCCAGGGAATCCAGTGGGGTCTCCCTCTTTGGATCATGATATGTGAAGCTAGTACTGTACCGAGTTGCGGAGACAGGCAGGGTCCAAAGAGGAGGCTTTCATGGTGGGCAGGATGGCGGCACTGTTAGGTGTAATCTGCAGCCAGGATGTGGATGCAGAAGAGTTCCTAACTCAGACAGTGATGAAACACAACAGGAAGCCCATTTATGGGATAAAACTTTTACCAGCCACAGACAAGGTAACAGCTGCACAGCAGTTATACCCATAAAGATGGAGCCATTCTTAATGGAGGAGCTTAAGGCATGCAGGCGATGATTGTCAGCCAGAATATCAGGGAAGAAAGAAAGAAGACAAGAAGCCTTTAGCAAAGCCTGGAGGAAAACGTTAGCGAGGCTGCATGGAAGAATATCATGCAAGGGAACAAAGCTAGGAAAAGTTGTGTTTTTTTACTATGAATCCCAGATTCCTCCAGATAGTATGGGAGTTGTAGACTGAAAGGTAACTGTTCCACGTTTGGCAATACAAACCATGCATTCAGAGAGAATAAAAAAAAGGGCAGAGCACAAACCTTTGCACACACTTTGAATTCAGAACTTGAAAGTGCTCCTTTTTCAAACTACAACTCCCAGATTCCTCTCTGCCTCTGGAAGGATTCTGAGAGTTGTTATTTTTTAAAAAAGGTAATTCTTTTAAGTTATTTCCAAATCATATAATTATGTAATGATCTTATAAAATTATATAATGATCTTAGAACTGCAGAGCTGGAAGAGACCCTATGAACCATAGAGTCCAGCCCTTGTCAAGGAGGCACAGTGGGGAATCGAACTCACAACCTCTGGCTCTACTGCCAGAGACCTAAACCACTGAACTATCCAGCAGTTCCTGTCATCATGACAACGACAGAGGTATAAGCTCCAGTTGCTTTTTGAGATTCCCCAGCACAAGCTCTGTGTTGCATAACCAACTGCAAACCAAGAACAAACTTCAGCGTTGTCACCTGGCTGCCGGGAACACAGCTGTGACAACTGTGTGATGTACACTGCTTTTAACTGTGCTTTCGGTATGGTAGAATCACCACGGCCTTCGGAGGAAAGAATAGCCTAGCCCACGAAAGGTAAATGCTTCATTTACTCATTCATTGGCAGTTCCATGCTGCTTTTCAATCTCGAACAAACAACAAAACCATCAAGGTAGTTTACAAAGGGAAAAAAAGCAACAATAAAGGCACTTACGAAAATAATAGAACAATAAAAAGTTTCATTGAAATCTCTGGGATGCCTAACTAACTTGACGTTCGTAAAAATACTGTCTTAAAGTACAGACAGGAGACAGCTCTCCTTGGACTTTCTCTTTCTATCTCTGACAGATGAAGTCATCCTCATTCATTCATTTATCCATTTATTCAATATTTATGTCTTTATTTGTTTCACGTGGTGTTGTTCTCCAGTGCTTCTCATTGCATATGGGAAGCGATCTGCAAATTCTGAAAAGTTTTTACCATGAACAAGTCAAACGAAATTCTCAAATCAGCTGCACTGGTTTTATTCAATAGAAACAGCTATTCCCAGTATCAGAGAAGGTACTGTTCCACCATCCCCCCCCCCGTTCGCAAAGTGAAACATTAGGAATCTGTCAGTAAAAAAAAAGAGGTGGCATCTTTAATTCAGCAGCACCATAAACATGGTTGAATACACAAGGATTTGAAGCCAGAGTTTTACAAGTTAACCGACCAAAGCCATCTGCCTGGATTAATGAATATCATTTTTGATTTTTCCAGCACTTGGATTTTTTTTAAATCCTTAAGGTTCCCCCCCCCCCATAAAATTTAGGAAGAAGTTGTGGAAATGTTGCTCTGTTTGTATCAAGAATTGAACCAAACAAAATTCTCACTCATTCCATCCCCTGTTCAGCCATTCTTTTCTAAGGATTTCATTTTTAGGGTGGAGCGGGTGGTAGATTCGTCCTCTCCTCTTATCCATGATGTGAAGCTGCCACTTCATTGTTGATTTAATTGCCTCTTTTAATGGTCTTAATTTGGATGTATTAATAAATCAAGCAATAGAAGACGTTTTGGTGAGAGAACAAAAACAGTTTAGATGGGTCGGGGTGACTTTGGTGTGGGGACGAGAAACGGAATCAAAGAAGTCCTACACAGAGCATAGAAAAGTTACTTTTGTAGATTCTGGCTCCCAGAAATCCCAGCGGACAGGGCTGGTATTAAAGCAGTGCTTAGGAAAGCTTCCAGAACTTAGAAAAGTAGGCACACGGGTTGGAATGTTGAAGAAGCTGTAGTATTAAAAAGTGACTTTTCCATGACAATTTTATACACCCACCCTCTATGCCCTTGCTAATCTCTAAACTTACAGGCTGTACCTCTCTCTCTCTTTCTCCTCTTTGCTTCCAAATCTTCCCAGGAACCTGCTGGATCTGGATACATTCTCCAAATCTGATCCAAGTAAGTCAGCCAAACTTGCAGAGTTGCGGGGCGTGGATGTGGGAGTGGGTGCAGGAACCATCCTTAGCAGGAACTGATGAATATCGTTGGAAAGGCAAGAGAAGAAGAGAAAAGAATTCATCATCCATCCTTTGGTGACTATCATACTATAAGTTGCATCAGCGTGAGCATCAGTGTGAGGTCTTCTGGTCCAAAACAATCCAACTCCAGAAGACATCAACTCAGAGCAGTTGGCTTGTCAGAGTCTCACATCAACCCAATTATATACTGTACAGAGAGCGCCATTGCCAGAGGGCCATCTGTGTTCATCTGTTGAGACAAAATGAGTCGCAGTGAATCCCAGGGGACTGTAACATCAGACAGATTTCCCGTGGCATTAACTTTCGTGCACTTTAAGCCACACCAACAGAGATACAGGGATTGTTCCTCAGAATTTCAGAGAGAGAAGACATGTACGCAGGGTTGGGAAGAGTGAAGATTTTGGACTACACAGTCAAAAGGAAGTTAAATTCTGAAACTAGGGGTGGTGGGTGGCGACAGGGACCACTTGCCTGTAAAGAAGTGGGTTACAGTCTACAAAAACGTACACCATATTCAATTTGTTGGTTAGGGTTTTGCAAGAGTCTTTGTAGCTTCTGTTGTGAGCTGACACAGCTCCTCTCTTGGAAATTTATGCCAGATAAAGGAGGTTAATTTTTAAGTTGCCACAAGCCCCTTTGTTCTTAACACTAGCTGTCCACAAAACTATAGTTGATAATACAAAAATCATGGTACCAGGGTAGCTGGGAACGAGCCCCCCCCCTCTCAAACCACCCCAATATTGTACATTATACTTCTACTGGAAGTTCTGGACAAAACATTAGGCATATGATGAAGTGAGATGGAATCTATGAAACATATAGTAAGCGTGTCACAGGAGTCTTCATTAAATGTTAAAATGCTTTTTAAAAACTAAGTGGAATTCTTCTAAGTTGGGCAAAGGGGGTGGAATGGAGATGGTCTTGATGAGAGAACTAATGGAAAGAGAGGCAGAGAAAGAGGGAAGGGTATCGTCCTCAGGCATTTTTCCTAGAGGCCTTAAGTGCCATCCCTGGTTTGTGTGTCTGTGTGTGTGTGTGTGTGTGTGTGTGTGAGAGAGAGAACCTCAAATACTGTCCTCTGAGAGAATGAAGCTGAGGGAATTTGGCAGGTTGGCTGAAGAGAAGACTGAGAGGCCATTTGATAGCAATCTTCAAAGGTTTGCAAGGCTGTCACATGAAAAATGGACTGAGCTTGTTTTCCACAGCTCCAGAGAGCTGGGCCCAAAGTAATGGATTTAAATTACTGAAATGGAGATTTTTGAAGAACGTCCTAGCAGTGAGAGCTGTTTGGCAAGAGAATGGACCGCCTTGTAGGGTGGTGGGCTCTCCAACATTGGCGGCGTTTAAGCAGAAGCTAAACCACCCCATGTCAGGGATGCTTTAGCTAGAGATCTCCTACGTTGACAGAGCTGGACTTGATAAGCCCTGGATTCCCTTCCAGCGCTAGTCTTCTGTGATTCTCTGATTCTAAATCAACCCGACATGCAAAAAAGGTTGCTGCCTATGCTTTACATTCTCCAATGATTAATGTATGAGTTGGCAAATTGTTATAGGCATCATCCCTCTTGTGTGCTCTGTGGGAGCCTTGCGATTCTTCAGGAGGAGCTCATTGGGGTATCTCAGGGAGCAGATCAGTACGCTGGCTGGGAGCGGGCTGGGAAGTTATGAGAGCTGTTGTTCGAAAAAGTAACTTTTCAAAACTTTGATGGCGGTTGACATGATTCCTTGAAGGCAAACGTGCCATTCTAAAAGCCCAGATTGCGATTGAGGGCACCCTTCTGCAAGCTTCCATCATACCCTCAAGGGAAACCTGAAAGGCACCTCCAAGCCAGTTTTCATGGACAGCTTGGGAGAGGTGTTTCTGGTTAGGTAAGCACCACTAACTTGAATTGTGCCCCACAAGGCAACAAGTAGCCAACAATATTGCCACAAAACTGGTTGAACTTCTTCTTGCCTCCTGATTTTCACTGAGTCCTCAGAGATGGGCAGAGAGATGCACTCTGTGTGTCCAGCCCCCCCCAAAAATTGAACCCACACTGGGAGAGGGCAGGAAGTTTGGGGGAGGAGGACTTGTAGGGCAACAGCTTGTAGGCACAGGCAAAGGGTGATATGCCTGCTCTAATCAAACCCCGTTGGCTCTTTGGTGGGGTGGAGTCCTTAGATGGGTGTTGGCCACTTCCAGCCTGGATTGGCATTGGCCAAGAAGACTGTCTGTGCTTAACTAGAGGACACAATCATTCGCACAATCATCTTTGGCATCTGGCTCCAGTGTGGATGGGGAGCTTGGGCCTCTTTGCATTAGATCAAATGGTTCTCACGGCTACAAGTGGAATTTTCTTCCAGTGCAAGTAGCAAGAGGAGGCAAGGACTTGCATGCTCTGTTTCCATCCTAGAGGCAGCCCTCTGACTCTCCATTCCTGGTAAAGTGGTGCCTTAGCTTATGACCATAATCTGTTCCAGAAGATGGTCATAACTCGAAATGGTCATAAGTCGAAGCGCCATTTCCGGCCGAAGGGAAAAAATCACGAAAAAAAAATCACTGCAAGACTCATTGGAAATTAGATTAATCCATTCATCCGAAGAGGGGGGAAGAAAAGCAATAAAGCGTGCAAGAAATGCACAAAAAACAAACAGAGCAGATTGGAAATGCACAGAGAACAAAGAGACAAGGTCGGAAATGCAAAGAAAGCAAAAGAAAAAGCAAGGGAAACATGCAAGACCCATTGGAAATGTGGGGGGGAGCCAAAAAGCAACCAAACCCCCCAAGACCCATCGGAAATGGGGGGGAGCCAGAAAACAAACCAACCCCCCAAGGTTGTTGTGGATTTTTCGGGCTCTTTGGCCATGTTCTGAAGGTTGATCTTCCTAACGTTTCGCCAGTCTGTGTGGTGGGCATTTTCAGAGGACAGCACTTCAGAGGACACCCCCAAGACCCATTGGAAATGGGGGGAAACCCCAAAATGCAACCAAACCCAAGTCCCATTGAAAATGGGGGAAAGCCAACAAAAAAACAAACCCTCAAGACCAATCAGAAATAGGGGGAACCCCCCAAAAGCAGCCAACCCCCCAAGACCCATCGGAAATGGGGTGAAAAACAAAAGCAAACAAACCTCCCAAGACCCATCACAGCACAGAAACTTAACCCCCCCAGCTCATAACCACCCTGCAAAAACACCCAGAACAGTCTTTTAAAAGCAGAAAACAGCACCTTACCTTAGCAGGCATCCCGAAGCCTTCCTGCAAACACACACGCACACACTCACTCAGAAGCAGAAGCCAGGCAGTCCCAAGCCTCTTCCTCTGATGCACACTAACTGCTGGGGCGAAAGAGCTACAAAGAAGCAGCCTCGTCGCCACCTAAAGTTAGCAATTTGAACTTCCCGCCCTTTTTCCCTGCCCTTTTTTGTTCGTAAGTGGAAGCAAAATTTTTAGTCCAGAGCTGGTCGTAACTCAACATGGTCGTAAGTAGGGATGTTCATAACTCGAGGCACCACTCTATCTATCTATCTATCTATCTATCTATCTATCTATCTATCTATCTATCTATCTATCTATCTATCTATCTATCTATCTATCTATCTATCTATCTATCTATCTGTCTGTCTGTCTGTTTATTTATTTATTTGATTTTTACCCCGCCCCTCTAGAACATGTCTACTATTTGCTTTCAAAAGGCTGTTTACAAGGATGGTGACGCTCAGTGTTGTGTGGTGAGTAGAGTGACAGACTAGCACTCAGGAGGCCTGGGTTCAAATCCCTGCTCAGCCATGGAAGCTCACTGGTGGTGCAGAACTGGTAAAGCCACTCCTTAAATACAGTGGTGCCTCGCTTAACGGGCTCCCTGTTTAACGATAAATCTGCATAGTGATGAAGATTTTGTGATCGCAAAAGCGATCACATCGCGATGTTTTTAATGGAAAAAATCGCTTTGTAATGATCAGTTCGCTGTTTTGCTTACCACATAGCAATGATTTTCCAACAGCTGACTGGTGGTTCCAAAATGGCCACCGGGTAAAAAAAATGGCCGGCCGCTGTGTTTTCGCCTGGATTCCTCGCTTACCGAGCAGCGAAAATGGCCGCCATATGGAGGATTTTCGCTTTAAGGTGAGTCTGAAGCCCATAGGAACACATTAAATGGGTTTTAATGCATTCCTATGGGCTTTTTATTTTCGCATAGCGACGAAATCGCTTTGCAGTGATTTTTGTTACACGGGTTATCATTACTATGTATCTCACTTACCTTGAAAGCCCTGTTAGGTTCACTATAAGCAGTCCCAAGTTGAAAGTACATAACAATAATTCTACTTAAGGATGATAGCCCAGTTTGTCCCTCAAGACTCCCAGAACCTTGTTCTTCTGCTGTTATATTCCGTAGGAGAACAAAATGTAGAGGGAAATCTCCCTCTCAGCTATTATTTGGCTGGGCTGCTCAATGAGTTAGGCACTTGGCTGTGAAGCTAGAGGTTGGGAGTTCAATTCCCCACTGTACATCCCAGGAGAAGGGCCACCCTATGTAGCCTTGGGCAAGCTGCACAGTCCTAGGGCACCCCCAGCAGAAGAGAATGGTAAATCACTTCTGGGTACAGTATTCTCTACCCGGAAAACCTGGAAAGGGTCTCCATAAGTCAGCTTGAAAGCATCAGCATTTATGCTTTCATAGAGCAAACGAATGTTATTTTTTTTTCTTTATTTATTTGTACCAGATCATTGCACAATTTAAAATTATAGTTATGTATGAAATATGGTAGTAGGCATCCTTCAGTCTCGAAAGACTATGGTAGCGTGCTCTGTATGGAGGACTTGGAACAGCGTCTAGTGTGGCTGAGGAGGCCAATTCGAGAGTTACAATCTCTTCCACACTGAAGACAAATCCAATCTGTCCCCTGTCCAGCTCCCTGGTTTTGCTTCCTTTATGACTTC